CTAGATTAATCGTCAACTGTTGAGTTTTTATAATATCTCTTCCTAAAAGTCCATCAAAAGGATGTGTAATCTGATCATCCACGACATAACATGAATGAGAAAATTGCAAAGAGCCCATATCAAAATGAACCTTGATGGTCCCATAGGTAGTTATTCCATGGCCTGTAACACTTTGGAACAAAATCTCTCCTCTTTTCCAAGTAAGATCTACTCCAGCCACCTTGTGAACCAATGATCGGGATAGAAGCGTGACTTTAGACCCTGTATCTATAGCCAGTCGAGCCGTATATCCGTCGATTTTACACAATAAATTAGGTTCAGAATCCTGGCCTAGTACGCAGATTCCTCCTTTACCTCTAGACATCAAAGGCATTCCCCTTCGGGAGATATATGAGTTTCTCGGTGTCGGCAATCGAAACTCTCAATATAATCCATGATAACCCACTTGGGAAGACCGAAAGGGTCGAGCCGATTTATGATATGGCATTCTGCGTTCCCACCAATTTACTTTGTTAATTTTGCCATATGTCTGCTTCCTGGGTGGCTGAGAATTTGTTCGTGCTCTGTCGATTCTCGGTCCCCTTGATACATTCCTATTACTATCTCGGGGAGCATATGTAGCATCTCTATTTTCAATTCTAGTTCGATTCCAGTAAGGATATCGGGGTCCTCGCGAGCCGTCGTCCAGTCGTCCTCGGGGCTGATATTGTGATCGGTCGCCATAAGCTCTGGGGCGCCAAGATATGGGATTTCTGCGTGAAGGGTTGCCCTGACTTCTTTCCTGAGTTCCTAATCGTCTCAAGTGCTCCTGAATTTCTGCTAAAGTTTCCTCTAATTGCTTCTGATGTGCTCCCCTCGGATCCTTTTTCGGATCGATAGGATTGTTTATGTTCCTGACTATCGCTCGTGATTTCGCCGTTAATTGTTCAATAGTTTCCTAGCTGATGGCTGCCTGCACCGCCTTATCGAATGTCTCCGGATCTCGCGACATCACTTGTCTTTTTATACGCTCATTTAGGCCGCTGAGGAATTGCACCAGCAATCTTTCGTCCCTCTCTTTTTGTTGACATCTTTTTATAACTTCCCTTTCCTGCGCATCCCCGCTAGTTTGTTCTACCATCGTATCCCTTACCAGGGTTTGTAATCGCACGGCATAGGTTTGTACATCTTCGTCTCGCCCTTGGATACAGGCATGGAACTTTTGTAAACGTAAAGAAATTGGCTCTCTATCAAATCGCTTAATCATGAGTTTCTTGAACTCCTCATACGTCACCACCTCCTGCATCTTTGCATCCTTCCATGCAAATTCCCGGGCTATCCCCGTTAAT